ATGATAATGTTAATAGGATAAGTTGATCGATGTCAAAATAAATAAAGACTGATTTTTTATCTTGTCCCCTTCTATTCAGAAAAGTCCAATGGAAGACGAAGAAGAAGCTTTTACCAAAATCAATAAAAAACACGAAGATATTGATGCGCATAATGGTAAAAACTCTGCTCAAGAGAAGGCAGATTCATCAGATGCTAAGTATAATGCCAAAGGAAATAACAATCAACCCCTACCACGGTTGTTTGGAAGGGCACGCTCAAAGATTGCAAGACTTGAAATACCTAGTAGGGGTGATGTGTATGACATTTTCAAGACAGAAGTACTCCCTGCGAGTTGCCAAGCTCAAGATCTGGATTCTCCTTCAGATGAGGGCTATGAGACAGCGGAAGAGTCATTCTTATCGGAGGAAGATTTCATGTTCCCCAAGAGCAACTTGTTCGGAGAAGATGACGAAGAAGAGGATGAAAAACCTGTTCCCAAGGAGAAAATAATGAAGAGGATAGATTCACATAAAGGAATGAAGTCATACCAGCTAGCTCAGCAACTATCTTCTAAATGGTCAACAGGAGCAGGGCCACGTATTAGCTGCATGAGGGATTATCCTTCAGAGCTTCAGTTCCGGGTTCTGGAGCAGGCAAACTTGTCTCCAAAACGAAAAAATGTTAACTTCTCTCCTCGAACCAAATCCTGTTCCAGCCCGACTAGTGTCATGACTCCACCTACAGTCCGTAGGCCAGTTACAACAAAGAGTCCACTTTCCATGGAGCAAAGGGAATCTTCTGAAAGGGCAACAAAGTAGGCCATATGTAGATGAAGTATAACACATGGTTAAATTTGTCCATGTTTAGGCTAGAGAAATATGGTTTAGGGTTTTCTTTTTGTTTTCTGATGCCCTTTCTTTTACAAGGATCCAGTTTCCTGTTTGTAAATCTGATTGTGAAAATGGAATGAAGGAATCCAGGGGGCCATACAGGTTCAATTGCCCTCAAGTTAATCCTAAAATTGAATCTGAAAACAGTGAGTGGCAAATGCCACTGAAACAAGAGGATTGACTGAAGGAACTCCCAGATAATAGATAAAAAAG